GGCCCTGGTACATAAACCACCACTCCAAGATTTCTTCTTTTGAAAATAAATAAACCACTAGTGACTGGACTCCAGCTGGACTTTGCTCCACTGATCAAAACCCTTCGATCCCAGCAGTTCTGGGATCCCAGCAATTTAGCCCATCTCACTGTCCACTTATTAGTCCATACTTCATCACTTTGTCAATATGGATATTATGGGAGGCAGTGGATAGCTAAGAGATGATAGTTGAAAGCCTACTTAAGATAAACATTATCTACTACTCCTCCCTTGTCTACCAAGCTAGTCAAATTGGAGAAGGCTATGAAGTTGGTCAGGCATGACTTGTGAACAGATCTGCTCTCTCCCCTTTACCTCCATTCCTAGAGGAGACCAACCATAAGGTAGAGGAGGTCCCATTAGGTTTTAACTATGCATTACTACCTTGAGACTTCTGCTGTGGGTGTTCTAGAGAAATGTAGCCAACAGGTGGCATGGACAGCACAGAGGTCATAAACAACAACAGCAGGGCAGAGCCCTCCCTAGCTGTGCTTTCAGTCTGCACTACCAGTCACCAACAGTACCACATCCCCCTGTTCCAGCAGCCTGGCAGGGTTTGGGAACTGACTGCCCATCCACACATCCATATACACACCCATAAACTCCCGTACTCCACCGGAGAGGCACCACACCAAAGGTGCCAGGGCTGTAATCAGGATGGTGCTGCCCACTCAACCCTCCTCAGGCAGTGCAGAACTGGCAGGGCCCAGACATATCTTGCTCCTAGGTGGCATTATCTGCAAAAAAATGCACCTCTCTAACAGTGTTCAACCACCTCTTCCCTGAGGACAAGAGAATATTAGCTCCCCTGGAATTTAAAAGATTGAAACAAACCACACAATAGGAATGGTGAGTAGGAAAGGATGTTGTGCTAGCCTCAAGGAAATAGCTTAGCTAAGATAAAAAAGTTTTCCCACCCTTATCTTCAAAGCCTTAATACATAAGCCCTCTATCTACAGAATCTAAAACTGAGCTGTAGTTTATGTAGCTAAACATAAGGCACTGGCTCTCCAAAGGAGCATGGCTGCTGAGATCACTGCACACTGCATTACCATAGAAGATATCCTCCTGGAAGGAAAACAAACAAACTCTCCCAAGGAAACTAAAAAACCTGAACAACCACACATTCCTGCCCAGGATATTGTGCTAATACAGAACATGTATGACTTCAGTTTTCTCTACCTCATCTGAGCAACATGTCTCGGTTTGCTCACCTCAGCTGCAGCCAAACACTGAGGTCACCCAACTGGGATCTCAACCTGTGGTCTCAGCTCAGTTAGGATATCATTCTTGATTCCTTCAGACATACCCAGGAATCCCCTTGGAAGTAGAGCAGTATTATCCCCACTTCATGGATGTGTAAGCACAGGCAGTGACACAGACTGAATCAAATTTAAACCACCAGTATCCTAGTGAATACTAATGCAGAGTATTCACAACAAAAACCATTTTGTCCATACTCTTCAATGCCAAAGCTTAAATCTGACCTATAACTAACAGCTCCTTTCCACAAACAGGAGAAACATGAGAAAACTAACAATAAAAAGATCCCTTAGTAAAAGCGTAACACCATCTGTGTGCTTAACTAAGCAAAACACTTGCAGTAACTAAGGCACAGGAGGTTAAGTAAAGCCCCTCAAGCTTTGTGCCATGTTCTTAGCCTGGATTCTACATGCCTGTCAATTAGCCTAAAGCAGTGTTTCTGTTCTTTTGGTACAATGACCATCGTACAGCTCTCAGCACTCTCTCTGCAAGCCACAGCTCTCCAAAAGCCTGTCACAAGCCTAGTTCATATGTGCTTACTCTGGTTTTCACAAAATCACTGGAAAGTGAGTATTATTCTGTGTAAGAACTTGCATATCCCACACCTCTCTTTCTCACATATTTAATAAAGGAAACCCAGAATTGAAGCAGAGTTTTACTTCAAAGTACGCTGACTTAGCTTTTGAAAAGCCTGCTTCTAATCAATATCTAGTGATATGGCATAAGAGGTGAATCTTGAAAGAAACAGGTTCAATTAAAACACTTGAGTTATTAAATTCATCAAGCTCAGAAGCCTTTTTTATCTGACGTGGACTGAGCTTGACTTTACACATTAAACTACTTATGTCACACTAGCACTTAGGAGACCCATTTAAGAATCAGAATGCTCCTGTGTTGCACACTGTTAAGTCAAATAATTAAAGGACAGCTCTATCCCTTGGCAAATCCTCACACTTGAGCTCTCAACACCAAACATTACCTCTTCAATAGCAAAAGCTAAGTGGCAAGTTTTGTTATAGTAAGATCACACCCTCAAATCATAGGACCAGGAAACCGCAAATGTATTTCCAGCTATGTGCAGAGACCTTCTGTCAACGTCTGGCATGCTGCTTTCCTCTTGGAACATCCTGTAACTCAACTCCACAAACCAGAATGATGACAACTATCATTTCTACAGGTGACCACAGGGATGACTTCAGAGATACAGTTCTGTACAGACAGAATGTACTCCAGAGAGGGGAAGTGTTACCACCAGAAACCTGGTGTCAGGAGGAAGGGTAGGCACCAGCATACAGCTTCACCTGAAGAGGAACATTATCAGTAACATGGCATTTCCCAGTTGGTATTCTTTCCATATTCCTGGTTTCCTACCTGTATCCAGTATTGTTCCTGCCAACTACAAGGTGCTTTGGTTGTGTGTCACACATGTAAATGTTAAAGTCGTTTTCTGGCACCAGATCCACATCATGGAAAATGAAACAGTCCCAGTTCGCTTCTTTTAGGGCTTCTAGGTATCCCACATTCAGCAGTTTAGCTCGATTAAATTTGGCATTGCCAGCCTGTGGAAGAGAATGGGGAAAAAAAAACCTCTGAAGAAGGTGTCACAGCTTTTGAACCAAAACTGTTCCTAGGCATTTGTTCTGACTGCAGAGTTTTCAGTCACATCAGTGTGACACAGCCTTTACAGCAGTAACTGCACAAAGAGCTGTCCCACAACACTGGGCACAGCACCAGAGTGGCCAATGATGCAAAGGGTTTCTTCAGTCTCTACTCATCATGAACACAGACAGGGCCAGGAGAACCTGCAGTTATCTGGGCACCAGAAGTACGAGGGCTCCCTGATGCAATTTAACTACTGTTGCTGCACCCTGTGCTGAAGTTCCCATCAGGCTCCCCTAACAAGAGAGTTATCAGTACACAGTTTAGAAACTGGTGTTCCATACAACCGTGTCAAGTAAAGGCTTATGGAAGTGGGTTATTTTTAAACAAAATAACCCTCTCCAATTACTCTCATACTAATCAGTTTCTAGATGTCAGAGCCCTTCCCACAAATGATTTGTGCTTGTCCACTCAGTGTCAAGGACAGGAATTCTAAGAGCTCCCTGTATGTCCTTAGATCACACACAGGTGGTAGAGTGGAAAGTAAAAAGCAGATCTCTTCATTTTTAACTCCCACCTATCACCTAACTACGCTGCTGCATGGGTACTCTTCCTAGCACAGAGCTTTACCTGACTGTCATTATTCTTCATTGTTTGCTTTTAGTATGAATTAGTTCATATTTGCTTTTCAAAAATACAATTTTTCACCTTTGAGGTATAGGTATAGACACACACACCTGGCAGATTTGTAAGCTTATCGTGTCAACATTCATTCCAGAGCAACAAGTGTGCTTATCTTGCTATTTATTTTCCACTTGGCTGCACACATGTGCCAGCCTGCTGAAGGCCTTCTGCCCCTGAGAACAAAGCAGTGACTTGCCTCAAGTTCCCACCTGAGAGCCAGAGGGCCAAGTCCTGTACTCCCAGAAACAGACAGGACAGTCATTTTCCAGAGCTAGGAACCTGATGTACTTGAAAAAATAAAAAAGAAATGTTCAAGAGAGAGTGCTTGAAATTCTAGCAACTTTGCTAGAAGACACCAGGACTGAAAGAGGCTCCATGGAAAATGAGGAAGAAGCTGGCCTGCCCAGCTGAGAGCAGGTTATG